GTTTCAAACAAGCCTATTTTCCCATTGAACTTATTTTAAATCAAATGGATAAGAAGTAATTCTCTTTGGTTATGTTATTGGAAATGACATTGGTTTATTTATTCCAGTTTATAATCTGAGAAATGAAATAAACCTTTAAAGGTTACACACATCTAACATTATCGAGGAAATTTCAATATTGAACTTTAGATTGTGGTTTAGATTGTGATTCACACAGATTGACTTAGTGTATTGTGCAATGTGAATGTGGAATAGTTAATACATGAACAGGTTTCAGATCATTTTGTCTCCTGAAAGAAACATTAAAATATCATTATGATAACACTATTCTTGCCCTATACCTTGTATCAGTGTAAACAAGATAATTAATCACATTGTGTTATATCTTTACAGAATTCATATACACCATTACATTACGCTACTTATCATGGCAAGAACATAGAAGTCGTGAATGTTTTACTCAGAAACAATTGTAACATTGAAGCAAAGTCATCGGTAATTATCTGATTTGTATTTTTTAGTACGGGTATGTTTGTATGTAAGTTATTACAGTTTTAAGCGTATGTCTGGTGATGTATTGAGTTCTGTGTTTAGCATTTTTATTAAAATGCTCCCATGAATGTAAATATAGGTTTTGAATGTGATATCTACAGAAACAATGCAAAATAGAAGTAAACATTAAATAAATACTACTCATTAAATTAGAAAGTGTGTAAAAGTATAAAATATCCCTACTGTAACATCACATGGCGACAGTATACGACTTGTTCATGTATGTGTGTGTAGGTATGTATTGTTTGTGTCAACCTTAAGTATAAGAGAAGTTCCATAAAACGTATCACAATTTAATATGATTATTGTATCCATACCATGTGGTCGGTATAGGAACATGGGCAATACAAATTTGGAACGTGGAAAACAAATTATCACATGAAAACTTCTTTCAAGAATAATGGATAAGTGATGTAGAAGGATCAGTACACCAAAGTTCAAATTTTTCCTGACTTTGGTGCCAAAATATGTGTCTACCCTTACCCTGGGTGAATGTAGCACATATACTCAATGAGGTCAATGTCACACTTCACAATTAATTCACGATTGAATGTGACATTTTGGGGATCTTAATGAAGATTGACAGGTGTTAGTATTTGATTCTGCATGTAACTTGTCTGACTGCGTCCATGATTCTCAAATCTCCATTTCTGCCCAAATCATTTTAATTAGATCAAACATATTTACACTTTATGTTTGTAAGCGTCAACACTGATTGGCGATTGGTGATTGGTGATGTCAATTTTCACTTCTTATTTCAAATTAAATTTTACCATGTAGAAGATACAATGTAGTTTTATTAACACATTCTAACTATAGTTGGTTTTAGTTTATATTGATTGTAATACCACTCAATGTTAATGGTAAATGTTAAAATATAGAAACTTATTCGTTTAACCAAATTGTACTGTTGATCCCTGTCATGCTTTTGCACCTGTATTGTACCACTTTGAAACAGAACATTACAATGTAATTCCAGCAATTATTTTTGAAAATGTTGTATCTGTTGTGTAAAAGTCATCAACTAAATGTAATTCTATTACGTGTTGGTATGAATCACATACAATTACCGGTATACAATTGTTTAAACATTACCGGTACTAACACAAATCATTGTATATTATGCTGCATTACACAGGATGGGGAGACAGCTTTGTTTCTAGCAAGCTGGAAAGGAAACGCTGACATCGTCAGACTGCTCATCCAATCAGGCGCCAATCTAGGAGTCACGGCAGTAAGTAAAATATTTTGGCTTTTCACCTTTGTTCAATATTTTATTCAACAACTAAAGTAGATTTGACATTTATTCATAACTGTGTTATTATCATGATATACACATGTTCTATTGCCACAGACAGTGCGTTGTTTAAATCATTCTAATGTCGGCAATAAGTTGACCCGGTTTTATTTTTGTCAGTGGTTGAAACATGTTTTCATCAGCAACATGGTCACAGTATTCAACTACAAAACAGTGTACATTAAATAGTTGTGATTTAAACACATCACTTTAATAAACTGAAA